ATAGCTCCTGATTACAATGTTAAATTATTAAATAAAATGCGTCCAGTTGAATTGATGTTCAAATTCATGGGGTATTCAGAAAATGATTCAATCCAGAATGAAGTTTGTTTAAGTTTGTTATAAACTTTATTTGGTATGATAAAAAGTGGTGAAGCAGCAAAGTATTTAATGAATAGAATTAATGGTAATTAGAATAATCTATAAATAGATGATAGTTTAGATTCCTCTTAGAGAGTGGGATATGTATGCAATAAAATAAATTCTATAATGCCTTTGGTTGCTGATTACATTGAGGCTTTTTGGGTTAAAATATTATCGTGCAACCAAATGGAATCAAAATAAATGAAACCAATAATAAAGTAGAGTTCTAAAATTATTGATGATGAAATATACACGATACTTTGTACTTAAAACCATTTTTGCACAGAAATGACTTAATTATACAATAATTAAAACAGTGGTACCAGTTTTAACAGATTAGCATGGAATATTTTAGGATATGGAGGTCCAACTCTGATACTAATATATATAGACAAGAAATGTAAATATTGATTATTTTTGGTAGAATGCAATATTCCAATAATATTTGGGGCATACAATCCGAATGCTTGGACTGATGGATTAAAATTCTAAGGAGATTCTGGATGTTATCTATTTTCAATAAGTCCAAGCTTCAGGATTTTTGGTACAACTGGTAATGGATAGAATTATGCTTATTTAAATACAAAAAATATTGATAGATCTAAGTATAAAGTGGGACTAGGTTTTGGAGGGAATTCAGAGCATACTTCATTTAGATTATGGATAGATGATGAGATTGAAAATAGATCAAAAGTTGCATCAGAAGATGACACCTATTAGCCTGGCTATATTGCAGGAGAAATTGAAGGATAAATAGGAATCTTATTTATCGAAGTTTGGGGATTAGGAGGAAAATAAGCTTTGATCTAGTAGGATAATTATAGATAAGAGAGAATGGAAGAGTAATTATGTGGTTGTAAATTGGTAGATTAGAGAGGATGAGAAAAGTAGATAAGAAATAATTCTTTAGTGGATTTGATTAAGCTATGTTTCTAGAGAAAACATTTGCTCATAGAGATCATGTTCAAGAAGAAATAGAAAAAGATTGATGTTATTGAAACTGTATTTTATTTGTTTTGAAATCAACGATTCTTGAAATATTCAATTTTGTCATATTTCTATTTTTGACCTAACCAATTATGATCAGCTTATTATTTCTAGATATATTTGATATTTATAATACATAATAATTATTTGGTTTATCTTTAGTTTTAAGTCCCACTTTTTCGAGTTCTTAATGTAATGTAGATAATTTATCTTCATCTCCTCTAACAGTGAGATTTCCGAAATTCTTAGTTCTACCAGAATTGATAGGATTCTTCATTTAAATATCCGAAATCTAAATGCCTTATTTCAATAGAGACCTTTTTAAATCCAAAGCGTCTAAATTGTTGTTATCTGTTTGAAATTCTACAGTAATTTATTTTGATTTATTAATTATTAGTTATGATTTGCCTGATGTGCAATTATAATTTTTATTGATTTATGCTCCATTTATAATTGAAGGAGATTTGTTGTCTCTTTATTTTTCTTTTAATGCCTATTCAGGTGGTTAATATTCTTTAGTTTATTGAATACCATCAAAAACATTAGAATGATGGAAATATTTATTTTACATTGAAAAATTCAATCTTGATGGAGATCCTGCAACTTTTGGAGAATTATTAATGTTTGCATTATTAACATAATTTCTGGCTTATTTAGTCATACAATTAGGATCAGTTTGTTATGAATCTGCCTTTCTCTTATACATGTAATTATCATTTGTAACATGATAGAAGAAATTTGGAGAGTGATCTCTTTTTGGAGATTGACCTTTGTTCATTATTGCTGTTATTAATATAATTTTTAATTTAAATATCATCCATAAAATTACTTCAGTTTTTCATTATTTTATTGCAATCTCGTTTCATAATTCTTTGAGGTTGGACCAAGTCTGGATTGTTAAAGTGAAGAATCTATTAAAATAATGAATTATCATACGTATATTCTATTGGTAATGAGGAGCATCATAAATTGTTGAATAATTCAATTTACTTTAAGGAATGGTTTATGAAAGAGGAGGATTGAGCTCTTATTTCTTATTAATTTGTTTGAATTGCTATTGATTTTATTATTATTATGGTATCCCAGAACTTTTTTTATTTTCTCTTATTTACTAAGTATAATATTCTAATTCTTCTCCTAAATTTGCTTAATGAATTTCAACATACTCACTCAAAGCATCATCTAGAATATAAAATATTTTACTAATTTTTTAAAATTTATCTTCATGTATACAAACATCAAACATATTTTCTAAGTAATGCTTTAATGCATTATCAATATCAAGAGATAATCCTTCTAAATCATGATTCTTCTCTTCAGATATCACAACCAAACAAGCTTTGATGTATTTTTATGACTATAGAGCCTTCTCTTATTAATCCAATTAAGATATGACTGTATTCAATTTATGATGCAATTCTTTTTTCTCTCCTGGATGTGCAGCCTAATTTCAATTTACAAAAATACTTTATGCTAATGAATTCTTTTCTAGATTTCTTTTTCTAATTAATTACAGTAGTCATTAATCAGTTAATGAAGATTTTTCTTAACTTGCTCTATTTTTACATGAATTGATTTCAACAATTGTGAATGTTCTCCATCTGAAAAATGATGTAATATTTCTCGTTCTCTAATATATTCATATCAAAATTACTCTTCAAATCTAACTTTAAGATTATGAACATCATTAAATAGCATCTCTCTAACACTATCAACAGTATCAATGTTTGCAGGTGTACCTTACTGATTGTGCCATTGAATATGTAATTTACAACATTCCTTGCACAAAGGCTTAATTATTTCAACTATCATTACTTCTCTACATTAGTCATGTAAACAAAATAAAACAATGTCATTTATTGGATGCTTTGGACACTTTTCGTATGTTGGGGCTAATTGTGATTAATGTTGTTGTTGCATAACTGAAAAATTAATAAAATAAAATTTTAAGTTATCTTCACATCATTATTATCAAATTTTAGGATAGATACTAATACAATACTCTAATGTTTAATATTATGAACTTCTAACTAATTTAAAATATCTTACCAAAAATATCATTAATCAAAAAAAATAAAATCAATTAAATAAACATTATTTATTATATTTATAAGGCTGAAAAACTCATAGATTAGAAGTTAATCTTTCTAAAAATCGGAAATTCTCAATAAACATAAGATACATACAAGAGTATCGTATTTCAAAATTAAATTTTAGATTCATATAAAGGTCAAAAAAAAAAAAGTCTGTCTTATGAATGTTAAACCAAAATTAAATAATAAATTAGCATTTAGAGGTCTAATCAATGTTCACATTTCCATCATCAGCCGATGATTAATGGAGTCCAATTTTTATTGATTGTCTTACTTATCGTTAGAAATTTGAAACCTTGGTAGCTTATTAGAATGGAAATTAAACATATATTTGAGCTATACTCTTACTTCTAAAGTTGAAATAAAAGTTTAGTATTAGACTTTTGACAAATCAACCCCATTGTGTTTCCTCTTTTATTTGTTCCATTTTGCAATGATGACTGCAAAGATGTAATATAATATTGCAGTAGATGTATGTGCTGCCACAGTGGAATAAACTAAATATAAGCCTTTAGGAAGTTGATACGAAAATGATTCAAATTAATGACTATAGTGTTTATTTCATCAAAAAAGAACTACTAACTAAGAATTATAATATTTTCAGATTTACAAATTTTTCATTATTTCTACAGAATGAAAATACTGATTGTTATCATTTTGAAATCATTAAGCTGTGAGAAAGCAATTGTTTAATATTTAATTATAACAATTATATTTTAATAATTTACTTAGAATAAATAGATCGATAAATTAGAAACTTTATGAAAAAAAGTTGGCTAACATAAGATATATAACTTCTGTTGATGCAAAATCTAACTTTGAATGAATTTCTGTAAACAACAAAGGGACCTACTTCTTTTAGAGGAAATCCTTTTTGATATTCTTCCAATAATCTCTAATTCTTATCATCAAAACTTCAAAACTTTCACTTTTTCTACAAATGGAGGATCTTTATGAATGTAAACATCTCATCATCATTTGATTTATTCTTCAACATACTTTATAAAAGCTTTTTTTAATATTATTCTATCACAGTATTCCTAAATGCCTTACATTTAGAATTTAAGCATTTTTTTAAGAAACTAAAAAAGAATTCATTGTTTCCAACACAATATTTGCTGACTTAATGGATTTTTATAAACAAAATGTATGGATTGCTTTGAAGTTATGATTATTTTATTATAATAAAATAGTTGCATTCTAAGTTTCTTTTATTCATTTAACTGATACATCTAATTCTAACCATTTATCAAATGAATTATTTATATTTAAAATTCTTTTTTAATGAGGAATCAAAACTAATCTCTTCATAGATTTAGTTATTTTGTTGATTAAAATATTATTATAGTAGAGTGTGAAGTAATAAATTAAAAGTTAAGTGCTATTAGATGAATGAATTAATTAATTATTGAGATCAGCAATTATTTGTTTATAATTTAATGAGCAATCAATAACTTTAAAAGTTGATAAACAACACTTTTATAACTAAAAAGAGGGTTTCTGCTGGATCCTTTGGTGTTGTGTACTGTGGCTAAGACATAAATACCAGAGCTCTAGTTGCCATAAAAATTGAAAAGGGGAATAAAGAAGACTCAAGTCTTGAAAGAGAGGTAATTTTAATTATCATGAAACTAAAAGGCAGAAATATTAAGAAGATTGTAAAAAGTACCCTAAATTCCAAAGTTGCATTGGGCAGGAAAAGAAGTAGATTCAAATGTGCTTGTTATTTAATATTTGGGACGAGATTTGACACATTATATGAAAACCTTTCGCAAGTTTTCATTACGCTGCGTATTAAATATAGCTGAACAAATGATTAGCATATTAGAAAACATTCATAAAAAGTAAGAAATTTACCTCGAATAAATAGCAAAGTGTTGCATCGTGATATTAAACCTGAAAATGTTCTTGTAGGAAAGGATGATGAAGAAAATATGCTATATATTGTAGACTTTGGAATTAGCAAATTTTATAAAGATGAAAATGATTCACACATGTAAATGCAAATCAAATCAATTTTAGATCCTATAGAGAGAACTAACCATTCATTGGAACTACCAGATATGCCAGCACTAATGCTCATAAAGGTAATTCTTTAAGCAGGAGAGATGATTTAGAATCCTTAGGATATATGCTAATCTTTTTATTAAAAGGTAAAAATGTACCTATTTTATTAAGGTTAATTACCTTGGTAAAATTTATAATTCATAGATGATGAAGATAAAATGCGTTAAGTTGGCTAAATGAAGATGAAAATGGAAATTAATGAATTATGCAAAGGAATTCCCGTTGAATTTGGAACCTTTCTAGAATACATCAAAAGTCTGCCATTTAAAGCTGAACCTAATTATCATCATTGCCGATCCCTTTTTAAAAAAGTATGCTAAGAACACAACTTTTAATAAAAAGATTTAGTTTTTGATTGGGAATCTGGTCCTAAATCAGATAGAAATGATGACAGAAGAAAACAAACCATTGAAGCTCATCTACCTAGTAGTTAAAATAGCAATTTAGTAAATAATAAACCTTCTTTGTATTTATATTAAATGATTATCTATTAGATTCAAAAAGTCAAAGGATGAAATTTCATCCAATAATATTGTAGGCTCACTTCTTAATTACTCTCTTGAATAATTAGAAATGAATTCATTGCTTAAAACTCCAGAGCAAAGAAAATCTAATCTAACACCAGATATTCATAGAAGAAAAAACAGAATATAATCAGTGAGTAGTTACAATGGTTCTCATTCTGAAATGGAAAATAATGGTAGTGTTTTATTGGGAATCTAACCAAGTATGTTAAGCAGATTGAGCAAATTGTCATTTAATTCAAATTCTAAAGTTCGTAACAGTAAATAAAATCTCACTTTGACACCAGAATAAAGGAGACCTAATAAACAAGAAAAAAAACTGACTATTACTCCTAACTCTTATCTTGAATAGGTTAATAGCTAAAAAAAAAAGTCATTAATTAAGAATTCCAGTTCTTAACAAAAAATATCATTAAAAAAAGAAGATGTTGAAGAAACTATCAGAGATTTCTCTAAAATGAATGAAACTGATGAAGGGATTGAACGTAAATATATGGTTCTGAAATAAGCATCAGTAAATGCGTATGTAATTTGGATATATCATAATGTAGGCGCTTTAAAAAATCAATTAACGGGTCTGCAAATCAATAATAAAAATAACTTTGATATTATAATGTTTCTAATTTAATTTAAAAAAAAGAATTTAAATTGTTTATTATGATTATGAATCAAGAGTCAAAAAACAAAAATTAGTTTTATTCCTTTAAATAGTTCATAGCCTTTACAGCTTCATTATAAAAAAGTTTGACCTTCTCCATTTAGGTCATACGCTTTAGTGGAATTGGAGGAGGCTAATCATTTTTTATAATTGATAAAATTGATTAGTGGTATTTCTACTATTTTTTGTAGTTCCTGATAAAGCACTTGTTTGATTCATTGTTTAATTAGTAGGTTAGATTGATTGGATTGTTTTTATTTTTTATCCTTTTGTTTTATATTAGGTAGCAAATAATTGTTTTTTTAATTTTCTTCTCTAAGTTTAGTATTCATACTGGATTCATAACATAATGATTAGGTTTGGTAGATTTTTTACATTGTACATTTAAATAATCATCTTCTAATTATTTGAATAAGAAATTTGTATCTGTAACCAACAAAGGGTCTATTTTCATTCTAATTGATTTTTCGTATTGATCAAAATTTAGAATATCCAGTTTCTTTCTAGTTTAACTATTGCTAGAAATTTCAGGAATTAATAATTACTTTTGTAATTATCGAACAGATTAAATCTTGGAAGCATTCTACTCAGATTAGTTGTATTTATGATCGATTTTCTTAAATCCTTATTACAAAGGCTGTAGCATTTATAAAATTTTAGGATCTATAGGATCTGGTTAATGCTCTATAAAAGGTTCAGTTACTTGAAGTATTCTATCTTAAAAAAGTTTGTTTGCATATATATTCTATTCTATTTCTTGAATTTTGTCTCTTATAAACTCATCTAGTAATTCAGTATAATTATGTGCTTCTTTCAACTTTATTTTTGGAAGTAATTAACTTTGGCGCCCTTAATCTATTCCGAAATTGATTCTCTTAATTCAATTATATATTTACATTTAATCCTAATATTTTACTCTAAAATTAAAAACTTGCGGTTGATTCTTTAAAATTTATGACATTAAAAGTGTAGTTGACTTCATTTAAGTTTCAAAATCATCATTATTTTATTCAAGTTCATTTTTATTTGATAGCTATTTTTCTTCAATTCTAACTGCAATTATAAATGAACTTATTCTATTACCAACAATTATGAATTAATATTTATTAATTTCAATAATGTTCATATGATTAGTGTTTTTAGTATTTTTTTAAATGTAATTAACTTTCTAAAATCTTCAGTATCAAATACTCTGATTTAATTACTTGAATCATAAGTTACAAATAAATCTTCAACAAAACCAATCGCTTGAACTGTATATTCTGGCTTACAAATTTAAATAGTTTTAGCTTTAGTATAATCTACTTCATTTTCTTCAATCAACCATTTTTAGATTTTATGAGTAAAATTAATTGAATAAAAACACTGTCCTGCTTCATAGAATATAAATCTAAAAATTAAAAAATTATAATATTATTATGTCTAAATAAGTAGCGAATCCTAAATAACTATAAGTTATTCAAATTTTCTTTCAAATCAGTTTATAAACATATCATTTCATTTTTTTACAGCTCAATTATACTCTGAATCTTCCTTCCTTATAATTGCAAGGGGACTCTAGTTTATTGATGAGTCTTTAGATGTCAAGAATATCAATTGTTAATTAGTTGTAACTGATCCCCATTAATCCAACATTTAAAGATATTGAATTTTAGTCAATAGGTATTCACATTGTACTAATTTATTATTGTGTAATTGATCCATCTGTCTAATAATGATATTTTATTCTTGAGTTTTATTAATAACTTTTATAATACTAAGACAAAATTCTTTTATATTTTGTGCAAAATCGAAATCTAAAATGATATAATTGTTATCAGGGTTATCTAGTTTTATTTCTTCATGAATCTAAAAAGTAATTTCTAATAAATATATTTATGGTTAATTTTCTTCCAACTAAGCTATTTTTTAGATCGATCTTGTATATATTACGTAAAATAAAAAAATAAAATTTCTATTACTTTTTATATGTTTATGATACATAGTGTCTTAACTTTTACTTTCTGTTATTTTGTAGTAAGCATGTTATTGTCTTGTTCATCATTTTCAATACATGAATTTTAATATGCGACAAATTATTCAAATGTGATTATTCCATTTTAAGCTATATTTTCTGCTAGTTATCTACTTCTTCTAATTAAAATTAGATCAATTTCAAAAGTAATAACTCAAATCCAGAAAATTTTCTCTTCTTTCCACATTTAACAAAGTATTCTTTTATTTTATGCAATTCTAAACCAAATAGTTTTGAAAATATATAGTCTGTGTTAAACATTTCTACTAACAATCTTTCATGGGCTTTTTTATGTATTGTCTATTAAAAAAGATAACTTAATAAGTAATCAGTAAAATCCAGACAGCAAGCTATTTTAGGATCTTCTAAAAGAGTTTATTGAAAACTATAATTTTTTAATTCCAAGTAATCTAAAGCTTTCTATTCATTGAAAACTTCAGAATTGATTTATTTAAATTACATAATTTATTATATAATATTAGAAAAAATTAACCATAATGATAGTATTTCAAATCACAATATGAATTAAACTCAGGTCATTTTAATTACTATTATTGTATTCTCTTGAGTTTCATTCTGAAATTAATGTTTTTTATTAAGTTGATATCTACAACAAGTAAATATGCATGATATTTTTTTTAGAAAGTCAACTTATTTCATTTTTTATAAGAATTTGTGGGAAAAAACTTTTTAATGTTATTTCTTTAATCTCAATAATTTAGTTTGCACATCCCCTATCTTAAAAAATTTTTAACATTCCTGTATTCTAACAAAAAGATTATCCTAACTCAAAGAATGCCCACAAGATTTTCGTTAATTAAATAATTTACCATACAGTTACGATTAGCATGATTATTCCCTTTTCATGTAAATTATCATTTTCCTAAAGCCATAGCTACATTAATCCTTAATTTCTGATGATTTAATTTTTATCATTTTATAACACTTTTAGTAGAACAATTAACCAATAATTTAAGCTTTTTCTAATTTTAATTTATTTATAAATTTGAGTCAAAATTATAACATCAGCAAATATTTTAACAGTTCATTCTATTTCTCTCCAATCAATTCTGAAACAATAGTTTTCATTTTAATCACAACAATAATAGTATCTTAATTAAGAAGTAATAAACTCATGATTATATTCTGGTTAATAGTAAAAGAAATTTTAGTTCAGAATAATTACAAGGAGTGTCATAATGGTTGCACATAAGTTTTTAAAAATTAACAATTCAAAATGTCCTCTATTCCAATCATGATAATCAACAAGTCGAGTCTATATATTTTTTATTGTTTTTTTGAGTGAAAATATTTATAGTTTAACAATTTAAAATAGAGATATTAGCTTTCTCTTAAGTTTAAAACATCTTTAATTTGTGTTATGGAAGCTCTAAAAATTTCATCTTTATCTAAAATCGTTGTTTTAAATTTAAATCTAATTAATTTTTTTTTACTAAAAATAGTTTAATTTATGTTTTTTGTTGTGGTCTTTATTTGTCCTATTTGAATTAAAGCAAAGAAGGTTTAGCTTATTTAGAGTATTTAATATTTNGATATCTACAACAAGTAAATATGCATGATATTTTTTTTAGAAAGTCAACTTATTTCATTTTTTATAAGAATTTGTGGGAAAAAACTTTTTAATGTTATTTCTTTAATCTCAATAATTTAGTTTGCACATCCCCTATCTTAAAAAATTTTTAACATTCCTGTATTCTAACAAAAAGATTATCCTAACTCAAAGAATGCCCACAAGATTTTCGTTAATTAAATAATTTACCATACAGTTACGATTAGCATGATTATTCCCTTTTCATGTAAATTATCATTTTCCTAAAGCCATAGCTACATTAATCCTTAATTTCTGATGATTTAATTTTTATCATTTTATAACACTTTTAGTAGAACAATTAACCAATAATTTAAGCTTTTTCTAATTTTAATTTATTTATAAATTTGAGTCAAAATTATAACATCAGCAAATATTTTAACAGTTCATTCTATTTCTCTCCAATCAATTCTGAAACAATAGTTTTCATTTTAATCACAACAATAATAGTATCTTAATTAAGAAGTAATAAACTCATGATTATATTCTGGTTAATAGTAAAAGAAATTTTAGTTCAGAATAATTACAAGGAGTGTCATAATGGTTGCACATAAGTTTTTAAAAATTAACAATTCAAAATGTCCTCTATTCCAATCATGATAATCAACAAGTCGAGTCTATATATTTTTTATTGTTTTTTTGAGTGAAAATATTTATAGTTTAACAATTTAAAATAGAGATATTAGCTTTCTCTTAAGTTTAAAACATCTTTAATTTGTGTTATGGAAGCTCTAAAAATTTCATCTTTATCTAAAATCGTTGTTTTAAATTTAAATCTAATTAATTTTTTTTTACTAAAAATAGTTTAATTTATGTTTTTTGTTGTGGTCTTTATTTGTCCTATTTGAATTAAAGCAAAGAAGGTTTAGCTTATTTAGAGTATTTAATATTTATAACATAATAATTAACTCAATAATTGTGGGATATTATAAGCAAGGAAATTTTTATCAATAAATCCAAATTATAATTAGTATTAAGATAAAAGAATTCAGATAGATTATATAAAGACTTACTAGGACTAACAACTAGTTTTTGGTCTTAATTACCAAGTGACTAATTTTTTCTTTCTGCATTTATGAATTTATTTTATATTGTTGCAAACATTTCACTTGAGTTTATGGAGTCTAAAGAATACAAAAATATAGATTAATTAATTCTAAAGATTATGGAACAAACAGGCCACAATTTTATAGTATGATTATTAAAAGAGAATAATATCAACTGAACCAGATATCCGACAAATCTTTCAATTAAGTAGCTAATTTGGTAACCATATTGTGTAAAGAATGTCTTGAATTAAAAGAACAATATATAGATTATTTTTCAAAAGGGATATAACATCTTTTAATTGATAAATAAAATATTTAGAGTCTCTTCTTCTACCACTTTATGATTGGTACATTTTCTGAGATATTTTTAATTCTTGAATAAGTTGAACTCTGCATTCAAAAAACATTAATTTCAGAAGATTAGAATGGAAAGTATTACAATAATGATATTATAAAGTGCTTTTTCTATATGCTATGCTTTGGCTTAGATAGATGATTAAATCTTTCCAAATACTTTAGTCACAAAAGCACGTTTAATTATAGGAAGTTCTTTAGAAATATGGTTTGAACAATCTCAATAAAATGCATTAAAAATATTGTAATCTTTACTTGCTAAAGAAAAGTTTCTTGATGATAATTTATCTTATAAAGAACTAATGTAATAAACATAAACTAAGAGCATAGAAGACTTTTGCTCTATTTTATTTTAATCATTAGAAGTGTTACAGCAAGTTTCTAATTTTAAAAATTAAAATATATTTAAAAAATATATCAATAGCAAAATAGAGCATGTTCTTTACACTGCAATCTTAATGTATTTAGAACATATGGAATAAAATCTTCAACAAAAATCAGATTAAATATTGCTATGGTTTCCTACAATTGCTAAAAGTAAATAAAGTCTACCTCAGTCCCTTAATTAAAAATAATTAGCACAACAATAAATTCATCTTGTTATCGATATGATGATGAGAATTTGTAATCTTAATTTCCTTTAACAATAATACTAGAATTTAAATGATCAATTGAAATTAGATGTTTTAGAACAATTGATTAGTGATTTTAATACTAAAGGAAAAATAATTTGCAAAAATATTTCTAAAATCTTGATAGCTGAAATTATTTATCCTAATTTATTTACTCCTATTCATCAAGACTTAAAATCTATGGCTGATTCCAAAAGTTATTAATAAAAATCAGATTGTTCTATGCTTTAGTAAATAGCTGAAATAAAAGATTTTTTTATCATTTTTAATTAAAAGTTGCCAATAAATTACATTTCTGTATTTTATGATTCATTCATCACTTTATTTTTTGAAGGTATTTATAATTAATAGACTAATAGGATTATTTTACTGCATATTTGATATAAACAAATTATAAAATATTCCCTAAGAGATGTATTTTGAATTGCTTATTTTAGAATTCTAAATTTTATCAAATTTTTTAGAAAAATAAATTGCCAACAATGACTTAAATAAAAAAGTTAAATAATAAATAGCTGAGATTAAAGATATATCAGGTTGGTTTAGCTTATCAAATCAAATTTAATAACCACGTTTGAATAGTATTGTTCTGATTATTATATATTTACCTTTTTATTTGGTTAAGGTTCAATATTTTATAATTCTTATTTGCATTAAACTTCAGTCTTAAATTTTTTAATCTCTAATTCTTCTTATTTTTCAATTTCAGAATCAGAAATTTTTAAATTCTATGAAATATTTTAGTTTAAATACCAAAGTCATTTGATTTATTTTGGATAGTATTTTTTTAGAAAATCCAAAAAAATCTAGTAAGCTTTGAAATTTCGATACCAGAAATATTAGTGAATGTCCTAAATTGTTTAGGAGTTAAGTATGGCGATTAGAAAGGATAATCTTCTAACGACATTTTCTATTTCTAAACTAATATCTTGTAACACTAAGATAATGTTCATTTGACTGTACAATTATTTCCAGAAGATTAAATCACCTTAAGCTTGCAATAGTGGATTTTTAGAAATAAATACTATAGTTATATTGGGGTTAACTAAATACGATGAAAATAAATACCAGCTTTTTGAAAAGTATTGTTTTAAAATAGTTCCAAAGTTTCAAAAATACTGTTTTAAAATTTAACTTTAAAGTTTTATAGGTTTTGGTTATTTCAAAAGTATTGAATTCTTTCAGGTGAATTATATTCCTTTCACTCAATAATATTTATGTGAAAATGATAATTTTAAATTTGTTTGATAGATAACATATAAATTTTTATTATATGTTAAAAAGTATTTATCAGAATTAAAATATATTAATTAAAGTTAATCAAATATAAATATTATTATTTTTAAAATGAATAAAATTAAAATGTAATTTTAAGTCAAGAATTAACTTAAAACAGGGTTTGGGTTTGGGTTTGGGTTTGGGTTGGGGTTTGGGTTTGGGTTTGGGGTTGGGGTTGGGGTTGGGTTTGGGGTTGGGTAATCTGAAATTTTATGCTTTGTATAATATCTATACTTTACCTCTATTTCCTAAAAATTAAATCATATTTCTTTACAGATCGATCTTTCATTAATTTTGCTATTTAGTTCCACTTTGTTCCATATTAATCAAATAAATAAAGTAATTTATTATCTTCTTCTTCATTCCAAGGTTGACTATTAAATATTATATTTAAATCGATAAATCTAGTTTCAATTTGAGTTTGAGTTTTATTTTTCATTAGGAGTAAGACATATTGAATTTACAAGTTTATAATTTAAATTATTGCTTTGCTTTTGCTAAACCATATCCTTTAAAGATGGGGAAATGACTAAAAAAAGTGAAATATATTTAAAATAAGATTTATAAATGAATTTTCTAAAAAAAGAACACTAAATTTAAAATAGTTATGAAATTAAAGTTAGTTTTTTTGTTTTTTTAAAAGCTGAGATAAATCAGAAACAATATCAAGTTAATAATAAAAGAGATGGGATATTACAATTTAATTAAATGTTTTATCTGCTAATTGAATAATATATAGATTTAGGTAGAGAATATAATTAAAATTTAACATTCATTCATATATTTTTTAATATTTTCTTGCAAAATCTTTCATTTTAGAATCTTGTTTGCGAAGCAAAATTATTCGATAAAGAGCAGAACACATTTTTTTATTGTCTTATCGCAAATGGTAAGAAACTAGAACAAGTGCAAAGTTCATTTACAGAACCCACTTCCA